CCTCTCACTCCACTCTGCGCGCCTCTCATTTACCGGGGGGGGGGGGGGGGAATTCAGCGCACAGATACCCCTCTTCCCCTCTCAAACGCTCGCATCTCGTCGTGCGTCAAACCACTGGCAAAGAAACAGGGCCGTCGCCCCTTTTGAAGGCATCTGAAAGGCACTTTAATTCCTTTAGAAACACACTTTATTATAATTCCCACAAGCAGGCGCTAAATTTTCACGCAACGAAAGGCATGCGTGCAACTTTTTCTTTTTTTCTTTCGCTCTTTTTCTTGCGCAGAGCAGGGTTGCAGGAGCCTGATCGGGAGCGGAGAGGCTTGGCTTGAGAAGGGCAGGACGCTCGACTGTCGCACTATTTGCCATCGATTTCACTCTTCCTCCCCCTTGTCCCCGGCCGGGGTTCAGGTGCAAGAACACCACCACCGGTCCTCGGAAGAAGGAAAAAATACGCTTGGGGATGGACGGAAAACCTACCTTTTTCAGACTTGTTCGCATTCCTGTTTTTCTTCGTGAGAAACTTTTGCCGACAAGGTGAAAGACGACAAATTTGTACCTTTTTTTCTACGGCGTTTTTATTGAAATGAACCCGCGTGAGGAGAGACGAGCGTCCCGGTCCGGTCGGTCGTGCGCGAAGGGCGTGCAGCGAAAACGTTAAATAAAACATGTTTCCTTTCGCTCAAAATATGGGGAAGACAGGCAGAGTACTCGTTGCGCGACTCGCTGCAACTTGGAGAAAGAGAGAAGTGAGGCAGAGGAAAGGGGGAGGGGTTGAAGAGGTTGCTTTGTGTTTGTGTGTGTGTGTGACGGCGTGTGACAGTCAACGTCACGGATAAATATATTGTACCTCTTTGGAGAGTTTTGTGCTCCTGCGGGGGAGGGAGAGTTGCGGGGGCGCGGTGATACGCCGCCGAGTCAACATTCGTCACCGTCCTCCCGCGGCTGCCAACGGGTCCCTGTAGGGGCGTGGTGTGGCGGGGCGTGGCGGGGCGGCCGCATACAGTTCTTGGCCCGCGCTGTGATTACAGTGTGCCAGCCAGCTAACTCTACAAGCGCACCCCCGGGGGCTCTGCTGTCTCTCTCGCTCTCTTGCTCGCTCTCTCCCTCGCTCTCGCTCTTTCTCTCTCTCTCGCTCTTTCTCTCTCTCTCTCTCTCTCTCTTTCGCTCTCTCTCTCTCTCTCGCTCTCGCTCTTTCTCTCTCGCGCTCTTTCTCTTTCTCGCTCTTTCTCTCTCTCTCGTTTCATCCCCTTCACCCCCCTCTCTCTCTCTCTCTCTCTCTCTCTCTCTCTCTCTCTCTCTCTCTCTCTCTCTCTCTCTCGCCCACTCGCTCACTCACTCTCAATGAGCGCCGCCCGTAATGAGTCGGCTCAAAGGATTAGCGCAGATATTGCCCGCCTTATTTCTGCGGCGGCGGTGCGGAGCCTCATCCAAGTCAACACCCACCGCCACTCAACCGTGCGACCGGCAACCTATCAATCAACCACGGGCAGGCAGCCAGTGCAACCATCACAACCGACTGCGTCAACAACAACCACCAATCATGCCGATTAACACCTAACGTATATGTACATTCAATTGAGCGTATGCAGTTTTTCTGTTGTACAATGCGATTGTTGTTTGTTTTGTATTTTGTTACTTTACGTGTTGACCGCGCGCAAAGTTGCAAACGAACGACAGTAAACGCAGCTTGCTTACTCTTCTCACATTGTTGCGCGTCTGATGGTCCTTCTTGTTGCCCCGTTGCGTTACCCGCCTCATGGGCTCACGGGTCTCAGCAAGGCAGGCAGGGCGGGCCGCAAGCCGGGGGTGTTCCCTGTTCCGCCCGCTCACCGGACAGCGGTGTCCAGGGCGTGGCGGGGCGTGGCGTGGCGGACCGAGTTTAGTAAGCTTGTTTTACTTTGCAAGATTGAATCACCAGGCCGGTGTGCGCGCGGCCCCGCCCCGCCACGCCACGCCACGCCACGCCACGCCACGCCACGCCACGCCACGCCACGCACCGCCTCACTGCGGGAGGGGGGTGCAAAACTTGGCAAATGCAACGATGGCGCTCCCCGCCCTCCCCTGGCTGCACAGGGCACTCCCCCTCCCCTCTCCCTTTTCCTTTGGACCTGCTGTCACCCCCCCCCCTTCCCCACCCCACCCCCTCGGGTCCCAACTGGTCGCGCCGCCTGACCTCAAACTAGGGACCTCTCGACTCACGGCCACAAATACCGCCTGCGGCTCGCCCGACGGCGCGGCCGGAGAGCTCGGGGTGGTGGGCAGGCCTCGTCGGGTTGACCCCATCAGGGGAGAGGGAGAGGGGAGGGGAGGGGGCGAGTCCGTCTCACTCGGCGCCACCGCTTCGGTTTGGGCCGCTCTGCTCCGCTAAGTTGGTCGGAATGACTGCCATCCAGGGGGCGATCCATTAGGCTTCTCGGGCGTGCTCTGGCCGCGCCACGCCCCGCCACGGAGCACTCCCTCTCACTCCACTCTGCGCGCCTCTCATTTACCTGCCCCCACCCTCTCCCTCCCCCTCTCCATTTCCTTTTGGAAAGTGGTGTCGCGCCGATGACGACGACGACGACGCGGGTATGGGCGCGCACCTTGTCAAAGGGCTCCTTTAGGGTGCGGGGCGGTGCGGTGCGAGGCTCAGGTGCCCGCCCGCGCCTCAGTGGAGTAGGCCTGGTCCTGTGGCCTCACAACCCCCACCTCCCTTTCTCCCTTCCTCCCTTCCCTCTCCTTTCATGACTTCAACTCTAAATTCGCACATTTTGTTTTCGTTTTTCCTGTCGGAATTGACGTGTGGTGCAATTATTACACCACGAAATTTCGATTGTGCCCTCGTTGAGGCCGTTTTTTTAGCTATCTTTCCTGGACTATCGTTGTAGCTAACGCGGAGGCTGCTGGTGCTGGCGGGGCGGTCGCAGGGGCGGGTAGGCAACTCGGCCGCTCGGCCGCACCGCGGGTCGTCTACCCGCTCCACTGCGGGCGCTCGCACCGGGCCGGGCGGCCGAGCGGTGGGGCCCGGGGTGGTGGGAGGGTCGCCTTGGACTTGGAAGTGCTCATATGACGCTCTCTGCTGGGGGAGGAGGGGAGGGGGTGGCTTCTACATTTTCACGTACCTCCTGCATGGATTACTGGGAGGGTCGTTTTCTGCGGACACCTGAACAGGGCGTAATTTTAAAAGAATGTTTGTTTTTTTGTTGTTTTTAGAACAGTAAAGTCATTGTACATAATTTTTACTTCTGTTCTCGCATATTTTTAAGTGAAAAGTTTTGACCCGTGTGCTCATAGTCTCCCCCTCTCTTTCCCCAGGTCTGCTGGCCGTACACGTGGAGGTGTTCCCGGCCGAGTCCGTCGTGTCGGTCGGCCAGAACGTGTCGATGCTGTGCCGGGTCTCGGTGCCCATCCAGTACTGCCGCATCGTGGTGCCCGGGCTGGAGGCGCCGCTCAACCTGAACCCGGTGCGGGGGCCGACGCCGCCCTCCAACGCCGTCTACCTGGGCGACGGCCTTGAGAAGGGCCACTGCGGCGTGTCGATCCCGAGCGTCGAGGACAAGTACAACGGCGTGTTCAAGTGCACCGTCGGCGTCGCCACCGAGGCGCACGAGAGCGAGGGCGCCATGGTCGTAGTCGTAGCGCGTGAGTATCAATTTACCTTACAAGTGGCACCAAGGAGTTCTTCACTAAAATATTTCAAGTTCTATTTTTTTTTAATCTTAATTATTTTTTTATTTATTTTTTTGTTTTCTTAAATGGAGGTGCTTTTTTTGTGAGTCTGGGCCTGTCCTGTAACTGATGGTTGTTTTCTCTGCCCGGTCCCCAGGCGCCCCCAAGGTGCCCCCCGTCATGGAGCTGACGCGGCCCCGAGACCCCCAGGACAGCTACCAGGAGGGCGAGCGCTTCCTCGCGACCTGCGAGGTGCCCGAGGGCAGACCGGCGGCCAACATCACGTGGTTCATCGGTTGGTGGACGCATGCATAGCTTAACAACATTCAATTTAATTTTTTAATTTTGTGTGAAAATTCTTAAGATTTATTTTTCCTTTTAAATGCGTATTTTATAGATTTTTAAAGTAAATCCCAGTTTGTTCAGTTTTTTTTTTGTTTTTTTTTTTTGTTTTTTTGTGGTTTTTCGAAAAATTAACACATCTCTGCGTGTGCGCGCGTGCAGGTGACGACCCCGTGACGGAGGACCTGGCCCGGCCCGAGATCTTCGAGAACAGGAAGGACAACCTGTTCAGCATCCGCCAGAACCTGACCCGGGAGGTGCGCTGGAGCGACAACGGCAAGGAGCTGCGCTGCGTGGCCTCGCACCCCATCATCGGCATGGACCCCGCGCGCACCACCGCGCGCAAGCGCATCAACGTCAAGTGTAAGGCGCAAATATCATGACCTGAGGGGGTGGGGGAGGGGGGACAGACACATATATAATGACCCCCATTGGAGCTGCTTGGAGGCTGTTCAGAAACCACGTATGGGACTTTAGAGTGGGACCAAATATTATGGAGACCCACAAGAAGCAGGATGGCCATTGGAGTCCATGGAGGGAGGGAGACCCCATATTGTTGTTGTGCCCCTGGGGTAAAAATACCATGGTGTTCCTATGGACTCCGATAACCGACCTTTTGGCTCGCCTTTTGGGTCCGTCCCCCCTAAAGTACACGAACAGCTCCTAGAAAACTCTGTGCTATTTAGCACACACCCTCCCTCCTGGGGCACGTTGCATTTGAATGGAATTTAAGCCGAAGCGACATATCGGCAGTCGTCGCGAAATGTCTGAACTCCGACTTCATGCTCCCTGTCTTGTTTTCCCCGGCCGCAGTCGCCCCCAAGCCCGCGCCCGGCGACCTGGAGCAGTTCGGCTTCATCGAGGGCGAGGAGGGGCTCATCGCCGTCCGCATCAAGGCCAACCCCAAGCCCAGCTTCCTGTGGACCGTCGGCCGGGAGAACATCGACGAGGGCAGCCTCGACACCACCGGCCACTTTGAAGTGGGCTTCGCCGAGCCCAAGGTGAGCAAAGGCGCGGCCGAGCGAACGGAGCGAACGGAGCGGAGCGCCCCGAAAGTGGTTCTGTCGATCGTATACCATTTGGTTTAAATAAGCAAGAAAATAATTCCTCGAACCATTTCGACGAATACGTGTTAGGGGACCTTTTGTGTGGTCCGATGGTTAATCCTTTATGGCACCTATAGGGGTACGGCGAGTGGGAGACCAAGCTGCACATCCGGCCCGTCACCAAGGACGACGTTGAACGCGAGTACAGGGTGCAGGCCACCAACACCATCGGCCAGCAGGACTACGTCGTCCGGATCTCCACGAGCTCTCAGCCTAGAGGTAAACTCAGCAAGACCAGCTACCTGATTAATTTGGTCTCTTGAAAGATGGTGTTTTTATGAACATTAACTCAGAAAATACCCTTGTAGCACCAAACGTTCAGACAACGTTCTGAGAACGTTCTTTTGGTTCTCTGAAGGTTTCATAAACGTTTTTAAGGACGATTTGTGCTGCAAGGGTAGTTCACAAACTATAGCTGATTTTAGAAACACAAAATTTGATTTAATTTTTAGAGTGTAAATAAACCGTGATTGAGTGTATTCATAGCAATTTTGTTTTTCTATCCCAATAGCTATGGCGGAGATGGGGGCTGGAGCCATTGTTGGAATTGTTATCGCAGTTCTCCTTGTACTTCTCATCATTTTCATTGTCGTCTTTGCTCGAGCCACTGGCAGATGGTGCTTTGCAGGTATGTAAACGATAAAAGGGACATGGAAACATATTTTTCAACGGTGCATTTACAGATTAGAGTTCAAACTATTCCTTTTTTGTTTTGGATAACATTTCTTAGCTCTCACATCTGTGTATGGATAGTTTCCACATTTGGGGTGGTGGAATTGTTAATTGCATTTGTGTAACCTGCCTGGTGCGGAAATGTAGGGTGTTCAGGTAGTAGACGAATGTTTTACAAACTGAATATGGGGTATCTTTTGTGATGTGGTGTTGCCTTCTAATTGAGAAAGCCATCAAGGCTGCGAAATGAACTCTGGTGTCACATAAAAAGCTTTACAGAAAAATTCTTATAACATGTAGTTGAAAGCACAAAAGTGAAAAGTCCTTGCTTTTGTTTTCTCAGAACAAACCGGAGACCCGCTATAGAATTTGTGGGTGTGAGGTGAGGACGAACAGCATAATGTGCATGAACTCATTTGAAGCTTGAGGCTGGTAGAAAATAGCTTCCTGAATCCCGACTACCCAAGTACTTGCTCCATATATAGTGTGTTTGTGTACTTTTAATTTTATTACCATCCTTAGGAAAAATCTATCCATCTATCCATTGTTAATTTAATTTCTAATATTTAGGAATGGTTCCCATAAACTTGTTCCTTTTTGTTTAAAATCATAAATACCTACATACTTCAAGCCCATTTTTGCTTAGTATAAATTCAAAACTTAACTAGAAAGAAATTATTTTTTTTGTACACCATTAGACGATGAAAGGTATTAACAAAATTTCTCTTATTTCAGTGGGAATTAGAAAAAAGTTTAGCCCTGGAGTAACCATATTTTTTCCTTTTTCTCCCTAGTGTATAGGTAGGTACACTGATACTAACTTTCCAGTCTCTTTCATGATACAATTACTGTGTTTCATATTTTACAAACAAGAAAAGAAAAGTTCAATCTGTGTTTGATGTATCATGGGACTGACTGACTTCCTGAAAAAAGACAATGCATAACTGGTTCTTCCTATCAATTTCTGAGATAATGTCTTGCAGCACAGGTGCTTTTGTGCTGATCTTTTGCTTTTTTCTCATACCATTTCTTATGAATATTGCCACTTTGAAGTTCCTTTTATACTTTTTTTTCTTGTTCTGGAATATGGTGTGTCAAAAGGAGACTTCTAAAAGGTAGTTTTCATAAAATCTCAGATATTGTGAGGAATAATCTAGTCTCATTGTTCTTATTTTTAGGGGGCCTAACACAATATCGCCAACCACACTTGTCTCTATATCGCATTCTTATACTATACCTACAAACCAAATAAGTTTTTTCCTCATTCATCCATTTTTTTCATCTTTCATGGGGTGATGTATTAGGCATCTACAAATATTGCAAGCAGTCAGATCAGAGTGGCTACCCATAATTTGTGTTTTTTAGATTCTCATAATTTAGCATTAGCTTATTACTGTGTCACTTAGAATATTCTTATCTAAGTCACATAAAATTACGAATACATTTGAAATGGGTTAAGACAGTTTCTTTTTTAGTCATGTTTTCTCACCAGGCTTGATAGTTCCCCTGCTTTGAACTACATCAAAGCTTCGTATTAAAGACAAAAAGTGCTTTCGAAAGTGAGGATTAATCAGCTAGCCTTTTTAAAGCATGTATCTTCTGATTTTGTGCTTTGAGGTCTCGAGAAAGTTAAATTTAAAATACTACCTTTGAAAGCTTCTTATGGTATTGCAAATCATGTGACTACCTAGCTTATATTCTGTATTTGTTTTTTCTTTTTGACAATTTTGTTTCATTTTCGGCTGTTTAAAATTGAATCTCCTCTGGTCTTAAATATTTTGTGTTGGTTGGTCTCTCTTTCCCTCGCTCCTGTATCCCATGAATCCATTTGAGGTGTTTGCTGCTATTTCCAGATTTCTTTAAACTTGACTTGTCTTTCAAACAGGCACTTCTTGGAGTGAAATTTTATATTTTATTATTTTTATTATTACTGTCGTTTTTGTTGAGCAGTGTTTGATGGTGAAGGTTAATGTGTAGATGGGATTGGGATGTTATTGTAGTTTGCACTTTCAGAGAAGTCTGCCTGTTTCTGAGACATTACCACATCTCTATCTTCCTCTTTCTACCTGCCTTGTCTTCAGTACTAAATATATTTTGCTTCCCTCCTCCCTTCCGTGTCAAAGCTGTGGCCAGCAAGAACTAGACTCCTGAATGAAGGCAAGTGCTTCCAACAAGAGTTAGTGTGAAGCAAGCTGGATATTTTCTTTCTCAAGTCACAAATAGATGAATAGAATTCGGATGTATTTGCTTGTGTAGATTAGAGCATGAGCCTGCATGCATATGTGCGAAGGGAAGAATTTGCTGTATGAACCACACTATCACTCAGAATAACAATCCAACTAGTTGCACAAGTTATCACAATTTTGAACTAACTTGTTGCCTCACAAACACACTGTAGTTGTGCTCTTATCAAATTAGCGTCAATCTTACCACATGGCTTAACAATTAAGCATGACTACAATATGATATGTCGAAACATTAAAAAAACTTGCACCAGTTACTTAAATTGCTTTAAAAACTAAATAATGCATCTTCTTACTGCAACTTAAAATTATGGGTAGCTCGAATATTCCTTTCAAGTTGTCACACGCCTGTATCCTTGTTTTTGGCCATCTTGTCTGGCTGATCTGAAGTATTCTGAGCACTTTCTTTAGTAAGCTTGCTGTTTGGTGTGGGTTTCAAAGCACAATTTATGGCAAATACAAATACAGTTATGAAGTATTTCCAGCTACTATTGGTAAAACGTTGTGATGAGTGAAAGAATCTGTTCAGGAGAGGAGTTGAAGTACTTGCCTTCTCATGCCGAAGCCCCACCCAAATGGCTAACACACAAGCAGTCAAAGCATTGCTCTCAGAATGCATCTCTATTATGTTATGTATCATCAGTGAATGAAATTTGAGAAACAGTGTAGCGGATAGTGATGTTCCTGTAAAGAAGGTGGTGAGGTTGATAAAACTTAGCATGGAAAACTATTACTATTGATCAATAGAAAAATGTTGCATGGTATTTATTTGGATGTTTTCTACTTTTATCAGTTTGAGATCTAGTCTTACTGATTGAAGGTACTTCTTAGTTAATTATTTGATGGTTATTAACAAAACATTTTGTAAGTTGCATGAACTTAGATACAGATAAGAAATTAAATTCAATTGTTTTAAACAACATTTTTGTTTAGTTGTTGGTTGTATGTAGCTCATGGCAACTTTGAAATCAGAAATTTCTAAGCGGAGTGTGTCTAATAATGAGACATATTATTATCATAGCTACACAACTAGTCACTTATGATGAATGATACTGTGGTTCTTCTTTTTAAAAAATTTTTAAACAACAATTACATTTCCTTTGAAATGTTCTATTAAGAAAATTTATTTTGATGTCACTTTCCTTCATTCAAAGGATGCATAACTGAGAGCATGTTTAACTACAATGCACTTGTGCATTTTGTAGGATACATACTTGATTTGCTTTCATATCAGTCTGCAAAGCCAGTCTGAATAGCAAATAAAAGTACATATTACATATGGCTTGTGTGTTCTAAGCTCTGAAAAATATCCTTCTCATTCTGCTCTGTTCCTTTTTATAGAGTTCAAATAAATTTAAAACATTATTTTTTTTTATTTTTTTTTTTATTGTTTTGAAAGCAGAATAGTGGTGATTTCTGAGCTATGGACACGCCTAGGGTGTGGAAATAATGCATGACAGGAGTTCATTGTTGCTGTTTGCAGCTGGTGGAGGTCGCGGAAAGTCCAGTCAAACCAGCAGTGTGGCTCACATCGATCCTGAAGGCCATTCGGAAAAGGCCAAGCACGCAGGAGTGGGCGGCACTGAAAATCCATCAATAAACCACAACGTTTCTTCTGAATATATCAATGGAAATGACATCAAGAAGGAAATCAAGGAAGACACCCCCGTGTAGAGTCAGCAGTCTTGTGGCATGTGCTCTAGCCTAAGAACTTAAAGTTGGACGAAAAAAAAAATTCCTTCCTATTCAATTAATGGATCTGATTGCGCATTCCTGTAATGAGGAAGTATATTATGATCCAAAGTCTTTGACAGACTGATTTCCGTGATGCCTTCACCTGTCCTATGTGGTTTTGAAGAGGGGATGTGCACTAGGAGAATTTCTAGAGACTCAGATGCATAGGACAGGACCCATATTACTTTAGTAGCTTAGGAAATAGATCTAATGAATTATGAAACACATCATGTGAATTCAGACCATTCAGTATGCAAACTTTTGTACTGACAAACGAGCATTTTATGAACGCTACCATACTGAAAGTACTGAAGGAATAGAGGTGGTTTGACTTCCACCTTGACTTTCTGTGGTTGCTGGGCAACTTAAGTCATAGCTCATACCATTCAAATTTGGTATAGAAAAAATCTTAAAAGCACATTTTGTGCTCTCAGTTCTTTACAGTGACTGAAAAACTGAATCAAAAAGTGAGCATCATTACTACTTAAAAGAGAAAGTTTCAGAATGGCATTGGGCTTATATTATAGATTAGAGGGTTTGTTACCAAAATACTCAAGCAATGCTTTTAAATTAGTTTTTATCAAATGTCCTGTGTGAAGTATGTGTGCAGTATAGACTATCAAATTTCTTGTTCTGTTTTGACTTGGATCTGAAGCTAGAAATCAGCTAATGCTTTCCCTTACTTCTCCTTTGGCTAGTTTCAGGTATAAGGATTAAATTTAATAGCAATTAAAAAAAAATAGTTACATATTAAAATGTTGCAAGAAGTTTTAGGATACACATTTGTACACTTTTCATAGTTTAGACTGCGACTGCCTCCATACCATATCCCCTGTAGAGAACATCCAGGCTCTCTATGCCTCCCGTGAAAAAAAAAAATGATTAATACTGAATTGGCTGACATTTTGGAAGACTGCCACATACACTGCCACTTTTCTTCAGGAATTTTATTTTCATTTTATCCCATTGAAATTACTCTCAATTTGGACTGATCAGCATTACTTTATTTGTTAGCCATACTAGCCAAGGGAAATAAGGTGTTGTTTTGTGTGATAATGCATAGAAGATTTCTGTACATATTGAGCTGGAACACTGACGGATCTACAAATTGTTAATTGCCACAACACTCAGAGTAGGATATTAATTTGCACCCCCTATTTTTATCATAATGTAAATATGTACTGTTAAGTTGATGATTCCAAAGTTATAGGGGCATGTTAAAGAGGCTTATATGAAAGAGATTACCATATTCTCCACATTATACATGCTATGCTTCATGAAGTTGTAACAAACGCCTAAATCATACCCAGAACTCATTTATTGTTGTCTTTACTCAATGAGCTCTTATTGTGTCAACAGCAATATTCATATTTCAATTTTTACATTTCTAACAGTGACCAAATTGCTACTGCAGAAGTAGTTCTTTAGACTGCTAAGCCTTGCTTTGGCATTGTTTTGAAAATCCATTTCCTCAAAGTTTTTAGCATTTCCCGAAGTTTCTGCTAAATTTATAAGTTGCTGTGAAAAAGTGGTGAAAGTTAGTGATCTCAATGGTATTGATGGACACGCTCAAAATAGGAATGTATGTGTCAATTGAATGTGTTTAAGTGAAGCCTTTGATAGTTAGAGAGGAATAATAATTTTCACAATTCGTTCATTGATTGATCGTCAACTTTTCATGTTAGATTTTATTTATTGAAGTGCCATTGATCCAAAGTAACGGTAATTTGGCAGGCTTTTCTTCAGTTTTATTGACTTTTACCAGTTGATTGGTTTGTAGGACCATATTGCTTTCCTTCATTTGCAGAAGGTAGTTTAGCTTTTAAAATCCTAGCTAAGTATTTGTTGATCCTGAGTGCAGAGTTTTAATATTTGATAATTTCTAGTGAGTAACATATGTAGGCTAATACACTTTCATATTTATAAATCTGTTTTATCCTTTTATTGAACCCCAAAATTTAGGTATCAATATAGATTTTCTTGTTTTCAAATCAGAGTTGTGGTATGGTATACAGAAGTGATTGTCAAAAGTCATTAGACTCTAGGAACTTATTCCCAATCCATTTTGTTTCTTTCAATTGCTACATTTATTTGTATCGTTTTTCAAACCAGTCTGTTGCAACAGTTGTTCTTCATATTTTGAAGCAAACGGGTGTACCCTATTTTTAAAAATTTACCATGCAGAACAAATTAAAAGACAGAAGATAAGTAGAACATAGGATTGGTTGCCCATTTTTCCTACTTATTGTAAATGGTGTATCTTTTATTTTTTTATATACTTAGTTGTACTCTTTTTATAGCTCAGTCTGTTTCATGCCAATATTCTCATATTTATTGTTTGCTTACAAGACATAGGTTGAAATTCTGAATGATTCAAACTGTTTGAATCTCATTTTAAATTCATAATTAATTAGTGTGTGTTCTGTAACATTCATTAAGTACTGGTCTTCTTTGCAGTGTGATGTACTTAAAGTTTTGCTTGGAGAAATGAAAGTATTTGATATTTCTTGTGTAAAGATAAGGTCTTAGTTACTTAGGGAGATGTGTAAATACTATGATTAATTGTGTTGTGAGCATCGAACTAAGGAGTGGGAAAGAAGGAACGCTCCTTTTTTTTTTTTTTTTCAAAGCCGCATTGTTGCTTTGTTGATAAGCGCGTGCATGAGCTTACAAAGATATTATCTTTGCTTACTAAGAATGTAAATAGATTTGGGGGCTGATTCATGTTCCGTTACACAAATCAAGATTTCACATATTATTTCACATCAATCATTGACATCTATATTTTCTGTAATCTAACCTTAAGGACAAAAGCTGATAGTGCAATTGCCATTCCAGCAGATTGAAAGATAAATTTGTTGGACCTTTACAAATATTTGTTTTCTTGTTTTACATATAAGTATTATTCTGTCCTTGAGTCTAAGTTGGCAGCTTTGTTGCTTCTGTAGCAGTGATAATTGATCAGACCGTTTGATTTTTGTTTTCCAAAGTGCTGTGATTATTAGCTATCACTCACATAATATCACTGCAATATTTATTCCATTTGAATTTTAGATGTTATGACAGGAATTTGTTTTTAATTAAATTCTCACTGGATCTACTATTGATATTACGCATTATAAATATTATTTTTAAACACTGTGCATATAAGTAAAATTCAAACATTCCTTGTAAAAACTTGGAAAAACTCTAATGTATGTGCTTTACTCAGGTGGTTGGGAAATCTGTGAGCAAAGACTTTGTAATTGTATTAAGACTATTTAATTTCATTGATGATTACATCAATTCACCTAATATTTTCTTTTCCTTCTTTTTCAATAAATATTGTTTTGATTAAAATGCTTTGTTCATGTGTCTTAAACAAATACACCATTATCATCTTCGCTTCAGGATAATTGGCATAACTAGAATGGCAAAAAATGAAGGTGACAGTAACTGAGGAAGTGTTACAATGTAACACCAACTTTTGAGGATAGACAACTAGAGAAATAATTTATCCTTACAAGTTTTTGCTCCTCATGACAACAAGTCTAAAGACTGCAAAATACCCACTCTCAGATTTTTTGTTCCCAGGAGGAGCTGCTACACTTCGCACTGGAGAGACGTAAGTTTTTCAACATTTGCATGCATAGATTAAAGCACGCAACACTATGTTTTCACTAGCAGCAGTGGTTGGAGGTTTGGATTGATAGAAAACTGTCACAGAGGCGTCAGTTCTCACAGATGTAACAGAACTTGGGTTTCGATTTAGTCATAGTCAACCAGCAGCTTATTAATGCTGAAATAAGTGTTACATACTCTGTGATGTGACTTTAAAGGTGTGTTATAACTAAACCACTAATATGAAGAGTAATTGCATGCTGACTTTTTTTGTACTTTGTGTGGTGGCTTTTTATGGTATATTTTCGGCTGAATAGAGTTAGGTAGTCAATATCAGTGTTCTTCTAATCTAAGTTTCATGTGATGTGCTGTGAAATTCTACATTCAGATTGGGAAGTTCCTATGACAAATGTGTGGTGAACTAGCTTTGACTAACACAGCTGTCTCAAACTTTGCATGAGCTGTACATAGGGCGTTGTTATACCTTACAGAGGCGGAGATCCAGAAGACCCTGGTAAAACAGAGGAGGCCAAGCGGTTGACCCCCAAGAGTCGAATTTCCACATCCGTCAATAGTGAACAGCTCCTCGGCCAAAGGCAAGACTCAGCACTACACAATTCATAGAGCACTGACCTTTTGATTTGTTGGTAGTTATCCAAACTGTCACTGTCACACATCTTCATCGCTGTGCTATTTCCACATTATAACTTTGATGCAAGAAAAAATTAAGTAAACTGGCAATCTATGAAACTCTAAAGCTATCACTAACAGACATTAAATTGAGTTCACGAGGATAGAAATTTACAAAGAACAATCTTAGTAAGTTCTGGGAGCAGGTTTACTATTGGTGTCTCTCTAATGTCTATGCTTTCAGCATTATTGACATCACTCTGATTTCATCAGGAAAAAAACAGCTTTGTTTGTTGTTGCATGTACTTAGTTTTAGATGCATGATTTGTTGATTTACTCATATTTCATCTCTGGGTATCTGGTCTTAAAATTAATGTGTCATTCACAATACAATAATACCTCAGTGATTTGCATGAGAGGAGGGGATGTACATAGATAAATGGATAAATGCATGTACCATCTAACTTTCTCTCCAATAAGTGCCCTGGACTGGACATCCTCTCTCATTAGAATTTTTAGAATTTGTTGTGGTCTAATTCTGCTTTGTATGATTCCAGTAGTGACACTGAAAGTGCAGATCAAGGGCCAGCTCAAAAGAAGAACATTAAGAAGAAAGCCAAACTTCCTCTGACTAGCATGTTCAAAAAAGCCAAGGACAAAGTTGCTGGTGATACTGAAATTTTAAAGGTTTGTCATTTTATGGAGTACAGATCGGTTAAAATTCTAAAGAAATAATAAGTTGATACTAAAGAAAGAGACTATAATGTAATTTTATTTTATTCCAGGCTGCTGTTGTGACAGAGGAGAAAGATGTTGAGAAGGCAGCTCAGCAGGTGGCCCAAGACGTAGAAAAGGGCAAGGAGTGTGTTTATGCAGAGCTGACTCACTCGCAAGCAGCAGAGCGGGCAAGGCCAGTCGTCGTCCGACCAGAAGATGACAAGACAGAATACGCAGAGATTGTTCACACCAAGGATGAAAAGAAATCTGACAAGTAGAATTTCTGTACAATACCAGAGCCGAAAGCCTGGGATCAGTAAAAGATGTCTGCTCTAGCCTTTATGACTTTTGCAAACCTGTGTGTTATTGTATACCCAACATCACCAATATCTCTTTCAAATCAACTGATTAGAGGTGTCTCGATTGCTGCTAGAAAGGTGCTCTCTTTGTGTATAAAAGAGACAAAACAAAAACTGCTCTTTCATATCAATCTTTTATTACCTGTATATGTGTAACATTTTAGTATTAGTCACTGTTTTCATAAATATAAGTCATAGCCTGAAAGGTCACGGCTGACCAGTTCTGAAACTTTACTCTTTCAGCCTGTTAAAAAGTTTGTGGTACCATCTCATTTCCATCTCTGCCATGCACATTTTGGTATTGAATTTTTTTATTGCACAATGTGTTATATTATGTGTTTCTCCATATGATAAAAGACAAAAGTGTCCAATGTTGTATAATCGAACAATTTAAGTTATATACCCACCTGTTTCCAGTATTTATTTTATGAAGTATTGGATTTTCTATGTAAAATCCTATTGTGATAAGTAAATACTTCTCCAATGCTGATATTAGTATTGGAAAAGTACAATGCGTTGTTGGGACCCTTTGATGAAAATGTGTTCTTAGAAAAGGTTGTCCTCTAGAGGTTCAAGATCGTTTTATATCCTCACCAGCTTAGTCAATTAGTATTTTGTAAAACCCAAGTCCTGGGTGGTGTTTTTTATGTTGTGTACTTAAAAATGTTAAGATCTATTAAGTATTGATAAAAAGTTCCATTCTACTCGGTCCATCCTGTATTTTGATCTTTTGTATGTTATCAAATGTATCAAACGTAATCAAAACTATGTGTCACCTTAAAATTTTCACTGTCCACTTCAAATACTAGTATAGTATCAAGTGAACTACAGAACACAGATTGAACAGTGTAAAAATGTATTTACAAACTTGCCCTAAATTAAATTTATCTAATTGTGTATAAATTGTGATTAAATGTGTGTTTATAAATTTATAAACTGAACATAGTTGCTTTTGTTTCCCTGGTAAAGACACAGTTCATGCTTTGGTCCAGCAATCTTATTTTACTTCAACAGGGTGGGAACGGGGGAAGTTCAAAGGTAAAGGTTGTGGAGGACTATATCATCTTAGAGAGCCGTCGTGACCTTTTCCCATCAGCGAGTCCTCCCGGGTGGTTGGTGCAGGCCACTCTTTCCGATTCAACGACCCATATAGGTACTCTAATAATGGCCATAATGGCAGTCCGACTTACTATTAAATTTCTCAAAGCTTCGACCACATCTAATTTAATTGTTTCTCAACCTAATAAGAAATAACAATTAAATTTCTGAAAGCTTCGATCACATCTAATTAAGTTGTTTCTCAACCTAATAAGAAATAATACAACAATTTCTGCCCGCTGCACTTGCAATTTTCACTTGCTTGCTTATAATATCTCAGAAATTAGACTAAACAAACAGGAAATAAGTCGATATCTCATCACAGAGAAAGAAAACCCCGAAAAGTAGGTAACCCACACATCTTGTCCCTTCCATACTGCCCTGATAGGTGGAGCTCTCCGTTCACCCTCCTGGAGGTCGCTTTGGCGGGGTCTCCCCACGCCGCCCGGCAGGTAGGCCGCTGCCGAGCGCGCGCGCACCACGCCGGGCTGCCTTGCCTACCCGCCAGGCGCTCCCAGGAGGGTGCTGTTACGGACGTCCCTATTTGTGGCCACAATGCCGGCGGCCAGAGTCAGCTTAATCCGACCCGACTATAGAACATTCTTTTTCGGGTAATAGAAAATCCGACACCTACAGGGTGTAAGCAGAAGGCAAGGACCTGTTCTGCACAGAATCCCTGACAAGCCGAAAGGGGATGGACGCATCTAAACTAACACAATGCGCCCCCCCCCCTCCACAACCTAAGGGATAGCTTGTGTACTGATTGCCTACCCCCCAGGCGTCCTCAGCCATTGCCCCGGCGTTCCCCTCGCAGTGTGCACGGGTCGGGGGCCACGTCCTTGTTTGTGGCGACGGCGACACAGTTGGAGCTACAACCGACACGGCCACTGGCAGCTTTATCAGAACCGACTGTAGAAGTAAGTTCGCTCGGCGTCGGAAATGCTCACGCCCCTCTCCCCCCACACTGACAATTCTTTTAGACAGTCCCTTAAAGACTGCCTCTACCAGAAGGAGAAAACGCCTCGCCCCCCCCCCCTTTAGACGGGCTTCCCTCCCTTCCCTTCCGCTCGCTCGGCTCGAGCGCTCGTCCACGCCTTCGCTGGGAGCTCTGTGGCCTGTTCGAGGGGACTGTCCCTTTCTTAGCCCTGTGGGCTGATTTTTATTTAAAATCTAAATCAAGAATCTATCTTGAAAGCAGATGCTACAAATTTAAGAACATGTCTGTTTTCAAATTTTCGCCCGGATTTAGCTGTCATTTGTTTCTGGTTGCTTGTTATTTGCAATTTCAGCGAACAAGCGGCGTTGAAAAGCGCGGGCACAGGGGCCGGAGCGGCCGGCGTCGGATAGTATTGTTGTGCAGGGAGGGGGACGGGGAGCCTATACCGGGGGTGTCCGTAAGAATACGCGGCAGTTCGATGGGTTGCCTACGCACTAGCGTGCAGGCGCGGAGGGCGAGGGGGGAGCGGTGGAGGTATGCGCACCATCCAGCGAGTTCCGAACAGACTATAAAGGCGCCCTTTCGGACCAAATTATTTTTCAAAGAATGTGAAAAAGAGGGAATACCCACCCCGCTTTTACACGGGGCCCCGCGTGCTTAATTTCGGAGTTCGGATGGGATCCGGTGTGTCCACGCCATCAGCCAGACTGTCAGATCCGACCAACTGTTGACTAGGGTTGTCGCCTACCCGCTTAAACAGGAACGACGGGTACAATTTGATTTGCGGAGACTATCGTACGGTTGGTTAAACCGAACTGACCCCCTACCGCTGAGGTCATGGGACGCTGTTTTCGGAGCCAGTTTCACAGGTCTTATATACCGACGAGCGACCACCGCTC